ATAATCTTAGATGAAGAGGCTAAAAGTTATCTTCAACTCATTTTCTAACAATGATTCTAGTTTTAGGGGAGGCTGGCTGGCTCAGTCAGAAGAGCATGGGACTCTTGATCTTGAGGTCATGAGTTCAAGTCCCATGTTGGGTATAGTGATTACTTCAATGAATAAAACTTAAAAAAAAAAAAAAAAAAGGGCGCCTGGGTGGTACAGACAGCTGAGCAACCGACTCTTGGTTTCAACTCAGGTCATGATCTCAGGGTCATGGGATCAAGCCCCATATCGGGCTCCTGGCTCAGTATAGAGTCTGCTTGAGATTCTCTCTCCCTCTCCCTTTGCCCCTGCCCCCCTCTAAAATAAATAAATCTTTTTAAAAACACACACACACAATGATTCTAGTTTTATATTGTACTGCCTTCTATAGAAAAATCTGTTTTTACCAGAGATCAATTCCTACATATTATTTTAAACAGTCATCAAGTATATAATTCAAGAAGCAATTTCCCTTGAAAAAAAATACATTTATATCAGAAATTGCCTACTTGCCACTAGAGAAACAAAACTAAAAAGTAGGAACCATTACTAAATGATTATTACTGAAATGAAGATTAATTTTAAAATGAAGAAAATGGATTAAACTAAAATAGAAATCTTTAAAATCATGTTGATAATCAAACTCAAAGGCCTTCAATCACTAAATTGCCAAAAATTGCTTTAAAAGTTGCTTGCAGGGCACCTGGGTGGCTCAGATGGTTAAGCATCTGCCTTTGGCTCAGGTCATGATCCCAGAGTTCTGGGATCAAGTTCCGCATCAGGCTTTAATATCTTTTTGTAGGGGCGCCTGGGTGGCTCAGTTGGTTAAGCGACTGCCTTCGGCTCAGGTCATGATCCTGGAGTCCCTGGATCGAGTCCCGCATCGGGCTCCCTGCTCAGCAGGGAGTCTGCTTCTCCCTCTGACCCTCCCCCCTCTCATGTGCTCTCTCTCATTCTCTCTCTCTCAAATAAAAAAATAAAATCTTTAAAAAAAAAAAAGTTGCTTGCGATTGCTTTAAAACTGCTTTGAAAAGTTTTAAAAACTGAGGCGCCTGGCTGGCTCAGTCAGTGGGGCATGTGACTCTCAATCTTGGGTCGTGAATTCAAGCCCCATGTTGGGCCTAGAGCTTACTTTAAAAAAAAAAAAAAGTTTTTAAAATTGCGTTTTTACAAACAGAATGTAAGACTATTCTAAAGGTGACATAAGCCCAAAACTCAATATCCATACATATAAAAAACAAATATCTATAACCTTCTGTTCTAGTAATATTCTTCATATAAAGACAACACTAGGGGTGCCTGGGTGGCAAAGTTGGCTGAGCATCTGTCTCTTGGTTTCAGCTCAGGTCATGATCTCAGGGTTGTGAGATCCAGCCCCGAGTCAGGCTCCATGCTCAGTGTGGAGTCTGCTTGGGATTCTCTCTCCCCCTCCCTCTGCCCCTCCTGTTCATGCTCTTTCTCCCTCTCTCAAATAAATAAATCTTAAAAAAAAAAAAAAAAGACAATACTAATACTCACCCCACTATTCCCTTTGCTTTTGTTTTGTTTTGTTTTGCAGTTTCATTGTGGGGTTTCCTTTTATTTATCCTAATTTGGATTCACTGGGATTTTTCAATCTGCAGATAGTGTCCTTTGCCAGTTCAAGAAAATTAGTAGCCATTATCTCTTCAAATAATGCCTATGCTCTATAAAACAGCCAGCAAACAATTAACAAAATGGCAATAAGTCCATACCTATCAATAATTACTTTAAATGTAAATGAACTAAATTCTCCAATCAAGAGATAGAGTGGCTGAATGGATAAAAAAACAAGACCCATCCATACGCTGCCTATAAGAGACTCACTTTCAGGTGTAAAGACACACAGATTAAAAGTAAAGGGATGGAAAAAGACATTCTATGCAAATGAAAACCAAAAGAAAGCTGAAGTTGCTATAGTTATATCAGATAAAACAGATTTTAAGACAAAGACTATAATAAGAGACAAAGGTCACTATATAGGATAAACTAAAACCCACTTCTATTTGTTACACCTAAATTCAAATATTCAATCTAAAGAAAAACACTTCATTATTTTGGCTCTTCTCTACATTCACATGTTGATATACATATTAAAGTATAATTATGTTTGGTCTTATTATTTTAACTCAGGTTTAAAACCTCAAAACCAGGGGCACCTGGGTGGCTCAGTCGTTAAGAGTCTGCCTTCGGCTCAGGTCATGATCCCAGGGTCCTGGGATCAAGCCCTGTATTGGGCTCCCTGCTCCACAGGAAGCCTGCTTCTCCCTCTCCCAATCCCCCTACTTGTGTTCCCTCTCTCGCTGTGTCCCTCTCTGTCAAATAAATAAATAAAATATTTTTTAAAAAAAGAAACCCTTAAAAAAATAAAAATTAAAAAAAAAAAAAACTCAAAACCAGCCATCCATGATAAAGGGGTCAATCCAACAAGATGACATAACATCTGTAATTATTCATGCACCTAACACAGGAGCACCTAAATATATAAACCAAATGTCAACAGACCTAACAGGGGAAACAGACAGCAATGCAATAATAGTATAGAAAACTTTAATACCCTACTTTCATCAATAGATAGATTATTCAGACAGAAAATCAATAAGGAAACATTGGATCAGATGGACTTAACAGACATATACAGAACATTCCATCCAAAAGCAATAGAATATACATTCTTCTGTGGTACACATGGAACATTCTCCAGAATAAATGATGTGGTAGGCCACAAAACAAGTCTTAATAAATTTAAGAAGACTGAAATCATCAAGCACCTTTTCCAACCACAATGGTATAAAACTAGAAATCAACTACAAGAAGAAAGCTAGAAAATTCACAAATATGTAGAAATGAAACAACATGCTACTGAACAACCAATGGGTCAAAGAAATAAAAAAAAGAAATAAAAAATATCTTAAGATGAATAAAAATGGAAATACAACATACCAAAATTTACAGGATGCAGCAAAAGCAGTTCTAAGAGGGAAGTTCATAATGATAAACTCCTACACTGAAAACAAGATCTCAATAAAAACCACACAAAAACAAACAAAACACCTCAAGGAACAAGAAAAAGACACCCAAACTAGACCCAAAGTTAGTAGAGAGAAGAAAATAACAAAGATCAGGTTGGAAGTAAATGAGAGAGTAAAAAGAAAACAGACAAGATCAGTGAAACTCAAGGCTGGTTTTTAGAGAAGATAAACAAAATGTCCATGCCTTATTTTCTCTCTCACCACTTCTTCTCCATTAATTCAATTAAACATAATTATATCTTATCACACTATCCTCCATTTATCTTAACTTCCTGCCAATTTTTCATTTTTTCTAAAAGATAAGAATACTTTTTAGAGTGTATGCTAGATAATTTTTTTTTAAGATTTTATTTATTTATTTGACAGAGAGAGATACAGCGAGAGAAGGAACACAAGCAGGGGGAGTGGGAGAGGGAGAAGCAGGCTTCCCGCTGAGCAGGGAGCCCGATGTGGGACTCGATCCCAGGACCCCAGGATCATGACCTGAGCCGAAGACAGATGCCCAATGACTGAGCCACCCAGGCGCCCCTAGATAATTATTTCTAATCTAGTCCAGTTTCACTAATTCTGTTTTTAGTTATGGGTAATCTGCTATCAAACCTATCTTCTGATTTCTTGATTTTAATTATTTTATTTTTCTTTTCTATAAACTATTTTTTTCATGCCTATAATGTCCCTTTTCACAGCTTCGCTATGCCCTTGGGATATTTCCAAGCTTGTCTTTTATTTCTTCAAACATGGTAAGTGTGTCTAAATCTCTGTTCAATAAATCCAGTTTCTGAGGTCTTCAGAGATCACTTTTTACTGTGCCTTCTTTCTCCTGGTTCTCAATTATGGCGCCCTGTTTCTTTAAGGCCTGGTTATCTTTGACGGTGTGTCTTAGAAAGTTACTTGAAGAGTTCTCAAAGCCTCCAAAAGAAAACGCTTTCCTCCAAAAGCAAATTCACACTTGTGTCTGTTAAGTGCCTTCTGGAACCAATTTAGACTCAATTCAAGGTTTAAGGTTTCTTGGACTGCCCTGTAATAAGAATTTTGGTAGCAATCTCAATGAGGAATAGCTTCTGGTTTATTATCAATGAAAGGTTTTTCTGGGGGATTTCTTTCCTTCTCTTTTTTCTCCCTTGTTCTGCTCAGTGCCAAGTCAACTCTTCTTGTAATCTCATGAAAGTGGGGAAAAGAGGATATAGGGGAGGAGGACAGTTTTTCTTTGGGTTCACCCTTACCCAAAGGATTTATCCCCACAGAGCCCCTATTTTATTGTGGGAAGTGGTTATTACACTTCTGATCATAGGAGGACCTGAATTTTGACTACTTTCCTCTTCATTTTAGGGGGCCGTCAAAACTGAATCTCACAGCTTCCTGATGAAAAGGCATTCAAGGCAAAAGGAGCTTCAAATACTGATCTTAATTCTCTGGCATTCACCTGCAATTTCTCTTCTCTCTTTAACACTTCCATGCCTTTAGAATTTTTTGTTTATATTCTATTCAAATATTTTAGTTGTCATCAGGAGAACTGGTTCAAATAACCTGGCTTCCCACTACCAGAATCAGAAGTCCCATACTTTAGTAATCCTCTTCAAATTGTTAAATGGAATTAATTTTTGAATTAATTCCTCTCAAATTAAATAGGTAAGTCACCTCAAATTCAATTATTTGACTTCTCTGAACATCAGTTTCATCATTGACAATGTAAAGAAGCTAAACCAAATCATCTCTATGATTCTTTACTGTTCTAACATACCAGAATTTATGCATACATATGCAATGTCACTTTTCAGATTGTGAATTCTATCAGCTCATTTAGTAACTATGCCAAGTTACACTTTATGTTGCTTATTAACAGGTTCTATTCATAGTAGTCAAACGGGAAAAGTTTTCTCACAGTGTTATAACAACTCCAGAATAACAGTAAATAAGACTCACATTTGTTAAAATGGATCCCTTCTCCATCTTCTCAAATCCAAGAGCCAAGACACAATCTGCCATACCTTGAAAGAAAATGTAATTATTATGAAAAATTAAATTTTCAGACACCTAACAAAACCATTAAATACTTTAAGTAATTTATATAAAATGGAAAAAGATGCTATAATCCTACAAAATGTTTAATAAGCGAAAAATTAGGGAAAGTTCTTACATGATTCTATTTCTTTTAAAGATTTATTTATTTATTTAAGAAAAAGAGACAGAGAGCACGAGCTATGGGGAGGGGCAGCAGGAGAGAGAGAAGCAGACTTCGCACCCAGCAGGGAACTGGTATGGGGCTCAATCCCAGAACCCTGGGATCATGACCTGAGCTGAAGGCAGATGCCTAACCGACTGAGCCCCCCAGGTGCCCTACATGATTCTAGATAAGAGGAAAAATTAGGAAAGTATTGAATTCTTCTTTTGATTCCCAATATGCTAACAAAACTTTTTACTAATGTGGAAATATGATTCAGTGAAAAAGAAATATAAACAGCTAATTTTGAATTTTAAAACACTAAATAAAATTTTAAAAAATTTTTTAAAGGATCCTAATCAAAATCTTAACAGAATTATTTCTGGAGGGAGGGGATGCCTAAAAAAATGATGTTAAAGTTCAACTGAACATCAAAACAGGAATTACTAAAATTTTTCTTTAAAAAAAAAAAGAAAAGAGGGCGCCTGGGTGGCTCAGTTGGTTAAGCGACTGCCTTCAGCTCAGGTCATGATCCTGGAGTCCCAGGATCGAGTCCCACA